TTAGTAATTAGCCTTAAAACTAGCCCGATGGATTTACGGCATATGTTTGGTGATTAGTTATAATAGATATTTTTATAAAGTAAAACATGTGTGCAAACTCTATGTTAGCATAGATGTATGCCTCAATGCTTATCTTTATTCTTATTTTTAGAGTAGCCAGTCAACTATTGTTTATTCTGACTCTGCCAATTACATGCCAAATATGCCACATGGAGATGCAATTATCTAGTTTAACGTAGTGGGTGGCCAGATAAGGCATTTTCTGTACAGTTGATCATATCAGTGCATCCTATATGTGGTTTATTTTTCAGCTGTAATTTTTTTGGTAAACACTACAAGATATAATACTTCATACATTATAAAACATCTACAGCTGTTTTATAATGTATGAAGTGTTATTGGAATAATAAAGAGTAACAATGTGATTATTTTTCATATTTAAAAATCTTGATTTATCAAAAATAAAATGTACTCTAATTGTTTAAATTTTCTAAAATGGTGCATCCACTGAGAATTTCTTGATTTATTGTTATAAAAGAAAGTTAACAATTATTAACTTTGTATGTGTGAACTTTATTACATTTTTTAATGAATTATCTTAACCTTATAACTTTGATCTGAAAGATAAAGTCAGTAATATTGAGTCCAGTAATTAATTTTTTTTTAAATATCATTTTCTACTACTCTGCATGAAGTAAAATCTTAAAAATTATTTAATAGCATAAATGAATTTAAAACAGCCAATTCAAGAAGAAACTAATTCTATTATTGAGGAAGATAAAACAAATAATTATTCTAATGATTGAATATTTAAAAAAGTAACAGACTACTTGCAAATGATTACTTAAGATTAACTTTTTAAAATTAAATTACCCATTTTAAATATAGAGATTATTTTTACATTTTGCCTACAATATGAAAATTAAATAAACAAAGGTTCTTAAATATATGGTTTATTTTTTTCAAATAAGTATTTTTTGATGTCTAAATTTTATTTTAAGAAACATTAAAAAATAAAACTTTTACCAACTATAATATACATTATTGAAATGGATTTTTGAATGATCAGATCTCTAATTTAATTGATAAAAGTGTAATCATTTTGAATTTTCAGTTTACAAACATCAACTAAGATTTATATATATATAAATTTTTTATGCTAGAAGTATGTTTATTTTAGCAAGAATATATGAATAAAAATATGAAGAACTTGGAGTAACAGTATGTTAAGCCATATTATACATTAGTTCTATAATCTTAAAAGATGAATAATAAATTTTATTTCTATGTCTCCAGTCTACTGTATTTCATCCTTAATTGGCACAAATTAAGAGACATAAAAGATGAATCATTCTTGACTTTTTACAAATACTGCAGTTGTGGCATAGCCACTCTGCCAAGATCTTCATATTTATTAATTGTTCTTCCCAAATTCTTTGCATGCATTGTTTAAAATTATTATTATTTTTCAGAATAAGCTTTCTCAAATTGAGACGGATCAAGCGCAGTTTTCGCCCAAGATAGAACGTTGGTCATCGACAAACTCGTTAAATAGGTCAAAAAAAAGTAAAATTTGCTCCATTCAATAATAAAAAATGAAATAAAATTTCTACAAGATTTAAAAAATTATTTTTATATTTCATTTTTTTTTAATATATATATGTAATGTTTAAGTAATATAAGATATGCTAATGTTTAAATATAAATATTTAAACATTAGCATATTTGAACATGTTTTTTGTATTATATTCCCTTTATTATTAATTACGACCTGAAAATTTTGTGAAAAATCGGATGAGCAGTAAATGTGCTAAAAATTGTTTTCATTTTAAATAAATATTTTAGCAAGAGTTTTAAATATAATGATAAGTTCTTATTGCTTCAGATATAATTACAATGAAAGAGTACAGTGATACATATGAGCATCGTGCTAAGTCAAGTTATTCAAATTTCCTTTTGTACAAGAAATGATCACTGTCGAAAAACTGTCCCCCAAATGACTATGTTATGAAATAGTTATTGTATAATAAAATTACAACTGAATTTTCATTGTATTATAGTTTTACTTTTTAACAATATTGCAAAACAGACACAACAAGCAATAAAAGTTATGATGAGACTGATGATAAATTTACAAGATATGAAAGGGGCAGTAAAAAAGATGTAACATCACAACCCTCCAAGGTCGGCACACATTATATCTGGTTATGGCTTTTCATACAATGGCAAGATGATCACAAATACATTAACATATGAAGGAATTGCTTTTCCCATTCAGATGTCATGATAGTGTCAACAATCTACAAATACAAAAATACCACGTTGCGTAAAATACTTTGAAAAGTCTACTACCCAGTATTCTGTACAAGTGATAAACATAATGTTAATTCTAATGAACTATTGGCTCAGTTTAGGCAAGGATTAAATACAATATTAAAATTTTTGGAATCCCTTACTTTAAAGGAGGACATAGTCTTCTCTATAAGGAGCTTGTGCTATGATTAAGTTCACAAGGTCCCTTTACAGTTGCATCAGTTCCACTGTCAATGTGCAATTGCAGTTGCTGTGGTTTGTCTTGATATTCACATAAAATGCACATTAAAACACTGTTTTATGTAAAACGTTTTTAGTCAATTTCATTTATGTACTTTAAAAGCCTTTTGTTTTATTTATGAATTTAAATATGTTGCATATTTATATATTAAAAAAAATAAAATAAAAATAAAAGGAACTGTTTAGAGAGGACTAGCCTCAAATATATTTTGTATATTAAAATCTCTTGGATGATTCTTTTCTCCATTCTCCATCGTGACGTTCGTTCTCACCAGAGCCTACATTTGCACTTTTAAACGACAGCAGATTTCCGAACAGAATTTGGTCATTTGTGCACCATTTAATGCATCTTGTTTAAAAACTCCGGTAGATTCTTCAAGTTTTGGACTGATGATCTAATTTGTAACGGTGATAAGGTGAATAGGGAGGTTTCGTTGGATTGTCTTCCTTAATGCGTATTGTGTGTATTCTGTCGGAACCCATGAGCCAGTCCTCACAAGTTTTATGTTGGTCTGGGGTGACGTGTTGGTCAAGCCATGTCCTGTGCCAGTTATGAAATTTTTCATTCAACTTTAGTGACACATACTGATGTAACTGAAAACAAATATACATATAAAAAAATTAATACAGATTTTAAAAACCTAAATATAGTATATAAATGTTATAAGCAAATTCAAAGTTATGTTGTTCAAAATTTCTTTTAAAACTATTTCTATTTGTTAATATGTTTATGGTGCCAAATTGGGAATAAATTCCAAAATATATATCAAATAGCATAGTACTAATAAAACTGTCTTTTTTGAACTAAATTCCCTACTCACAATGATGCCCAGAATAAAATTACAGAACATGCAGAAATTTTTATTGTACCCCTCATTTAATATAAAAAAATCTGCTTTAATTTTTCTATGAAGCATATTAAAGATCATATATCCAAATAAATATTAATTATTATTTTTAATATATGTATTTTTGAACTGCAATTTTCAAATACCAGATCTATATTTTTCCATTGTCATCATCTGGCCTCTGTTAATCTCAAAAATGGAGTTAGATAGATGAAAATTAAGACCAAATATGGAAAGTTTAGTTGCTGGTGGCCCCAATTAACTATATATGAACTTCCAGTCTGGTCCAGAAGTCACATGATTTCAATTTATAATTTTTATCTTACTATAGTGTGACAAATTTAGTATAGAATTGGTTCTTATGACAAACTGAGATCAATAATATATTACTCAGCCGTCTAAGGTGTACAATATTCACATGAAAAATATTATCATCACAGAGAAAAGTAATCACAATTTCAGATTTGGTGTCAAAAGTTATATTTATTTAAATTAAATTGTGATTAAAAATTGCAGTCTGCCATGCCATTGTGATGATGTCACAATAAGTAATTTTTTCTCTTATAATTATAATTAGCTCGGTTAAACATAAATAAATTTCATATTATAATTTCTTAATACTAATCTAGATTATCTAATTAATTTTAATTGTTGTTAATGATAAAAAAGAAATAATTTAATGTTTCAGTTTAAATTTATATAAGAATAAGAAAAAACATTTTATTCAACACCATAAATCATTCAGTTTATTGCAAATATTTCTGAAATTTGATACCAAAGCACAGTCTAACCAGTAAATCATTTTTTTCATCCAAATACATACAAACATACATACATATACATACATATTACTAGCAAGTCTGATGCAGTGGACAATGTAAGTTTACCTTGGCAATGTTCAATTTATTGCAGTTTTTTTTATTTATTCATTTCAATGGCATAAACTCAAAAAAGAAGTTTCACAAAGCCTTAAACCTTTATACATATTTTATTTTCGAGTGGAAAAAAAATATTTTCAAATACAGTAGAACCTCCATTATCCGGATTGTTCAAAATAAACAAAAATTTTACGAATTTGCTGATTTGCACTTGGCGAATTACGACACTGTTTATGTACGTGATGGAATGCATAACTTTTTTTGTTTCAACAACGTCTCACCCGGCACAGTGGTCGTAAACTCTTAAATATATTTTACGTAGTAATAAAAATATAACTTGACATACGTATTTATAAATAATTTATATTCAAATTACATCATTTCTATGACCAAGGGCGGCGTAAGGCATGGACGACGTGGGCCACCGCCTATGCCTCGC